CATAGCGACCCTGTACAGGGTTTCCGAGGCTGTAAATCTTTACGGGAGCAGAAAGCCTCATCTTTCTCCCGTGGCGCAGCTGGTAGCTTCGAACTGCTGACCTTAAACTTCACAGCCCGATTCGTAACCACTACGCTATCAGAACTCCTTTTTGATTCATAGGGACCCTGTATATGATTTCTGAGGAGTAGCTGGTACGTTAGAACTGCTGACCTTGAGGTTCAAACTGGCCTTGCAGTCCAGTGCTTATCCTACATACACTGCCATACAACGACTCATCAATTCAAAATATTGAAGGAAAACCTAAAATCTTAATATGACCCAGAAACTTTTCTACTTAATTAGCTTATAACATACCTTTACAGAGATATAAATAAACTGTTTATTGGCAAGAATAAAATTATATTACATCTAGTGTTTGTACAATCCCCATAATCATGTCTGTATAGTACTAAGTGTGTGGTTGACTCACAACAGATGTATATTAGCTAAAGCATGTTATTATAGGATGTCTTCCTTTCTACTGATGCTAGACTTTTATGAAAGACCTGTATAACTGCGGTGCTTTCTCTGTCTCTTGGGTTTATTCACAGTAAACAGATCCAAGCTCTGCTAGGCCAGTTCAGCCAGGCAGAAGCCTTATTAACGAAAGCGGGCGTGCAGCCAGGGACTTTGGATGGAGTTCTCTTGGATCTTGGGTGTTCTTCCATTCAACTTGATGTTCCTGAAAGAGGTTTTTCCCTTCGGAAGGATGGTCCCTTGGACATGAGGATGGATGGTGATAGGTGAGTATTGATAAAGCATTTCTCCTCACAATGAGAAATCAATTTCTCAAAAACACTCTGAATTTAATTTCCTTTTAAGACTCTAGAATTCCCATCACACGCCCACACCTAGCACTATCCATACATAATATATCAGCTTGTTTGCTGCTCATTATAGAGTTTAGTATTTCTGGATTTGGGATTGTTAAACAAACAATTTAAAAAATGTTTAATTAGAGAAAATCCATTGCTGTCTTTGCACAAAAATAATGAGTAGCATAAATTTCATACTGATTATCTGTTCAACTGATATAATATGAGACTTTAGACAGCTAACAATATTAATAAATGTGATACAGAAACAGTGGTTTCATTTTATAGATACAGGCACAACTATGCCTCTTGCTAGAAATAAAACAAACTTCATTTAATATATATTTTAGAATACTCAAGAAAAGATGAATCCTAGAGCTCAACATTTGTCATTTTTGTCCCATCTCTTGCACAGTCCTTTTTGGTTGAACGTACTCCAGAGAAAATGCAATTGTGGTACTGTTAAACACTGACTGATTATGCATAGGGCAGTTTTTATACCTCTTCTCTATTCTTTACCACCCTGAAGATAGTAGTTTGTTCTCCTTAATTCAAGTAGGAGCTTTGGTGGTACATTGGTTAAGTGCTTGACTGCTACCCAAAAGGATCAAACCCACCAACTGCTCCTCTGGAAAAAGATGTGACACTCAGTCTGCTTCCATAAAGATTAAAGTTCTACTTTGTCCTATAGGGCTATTATGAGTTGGAATTGGCTTGATGGCAGTTGGTTTGCATGTAATTTTATAGGAATAATTTATTTTAAATCTAAATATATTGGAAAACTTAGAGTAATACCTGTATGCTGAACACTGACTGGGACTGAACATCTACAGATTTTAATCATGCTCTTGCGCTTAATATCACCAAACTATACTGCATTGCCCCTATCTCTGGGAAACGTACCTCCTAAGAAGAAACACTTCCTTATATCTAAATAAGTATACTGTTCTATTATTGTAACTAATCTGCAATTCTTGACTTGCATAAAAATTTCTACCAAAATATAAAGTTTTCAAAATTCTTCAAATCTATTACCAGGTCTTCCTGGTGTGGCACTGCAGGATAAGCACTGGACTGCTAACTGCACAGGTGGTGGTTCAAACACACCAGCTGCTCCTCAAAACCTCCACACAGGGTCATTATGAGTCAGAACCAACTTGACAACATATGTGAGAAATTTAAATGTCCAGTTTAATGAAAAAATTAATATTGAGCTGATTTTGACTTTTTGTTTCTGCAAATTGTTTTTTCCTTGTGATAATTATTAACATACAGCCTTTTCCTGTGTTGCAATATATATAAACTGTTCATTTGGTATGTTGTGTAGTGTTAATTTTCTTTAAGGTTATCTTATAGTCCATTAATTTCCCCCCCATTTAGTCTAGCCTATTTTATCCTGTAATCTACCTGACCTCACCATCTGGATCTCTGTTCCTATGTGTTTACCTTCTTTTACATTGCAATTGTTTTGATCATAGACTGACCTCCCAGATTCTCTGAGTTTGTTCTTATAGTTTTGTTGTGTTCTTGACTCTTCCATCTGTCGATTTAGTTCTGGGAGGTGCTGCCATGTATGTCAATCTCTGGTTGTTGTCTGTTCTTGTTGGTTCGCAGTCCACAGAACTCCCTTTAGAATGTTTTGTAGCACAGGGTTGGCTTTGGCAAAATCCCTTAGCTTCTGTTTATCGTGGAATGTTTTGATTATACTGTCATATTTGATAGCTTTGCTGGATAAAAGATTTCTTGATTGACAGTTTTTTTTCTATATGGGTTTTATATATGTCTCCCCGTTGCCTTCTTGCTTGCATGGTTTCTGTCTGAGCTTACTCTGACTCGCTTACCTTTGCATGTAACACTTTTGTTTTCCGTAGCTGCTTTCAGGATTCTCTTCTTATCTTTGATTTTGGAAAACTTGATTATGATAAGTCTCAGTGATTTTCTTTTGGGGGGTCTATTCTTCCTGGGGTTCATTGAGCTTCTTGAATGTTTATCTTTAACTTTTCAGGATGTTAGTGAAATTTTCTTCCAGAAGTTCTTCACTATTTCCTCTGTGGACTTGTGTGATTTTTCTTGTTCTGGAATGCTGATTCTTAAGTTATTCCTCTTCATGTTGTCCAACATGAATCTTAGACCTTCTTCAGATTTTTTATCCTTTTTTCTGTTTGCTCTTTTATCTTGGTGGTATTGAGAGATTTGTCTTCCAGATCACTGGTTTTGCCTTCCATCTCTTCTATTCTACTCCTTGGCCCTTTCAGTGTATTGTCTATTTCTGATATTCTATTATTGATTGTTTGGACCTCTTTCTGTAGATTTTGAATTGTTTCCAATGTTACATGTATCTTATTTGATTGTTACTGTAGCACTTTCCTGACTTCTTCGTTATTTTTCTCAACTCCATTGTAAAGTGTTTTGAAACATTTTATAATCATTTTTCTGAATTCCTTCTCAGGCTTTCCAAGTCCTACCCTCCTTCCAGAATGTAGTCCATGTCAACCTCTAGGTTATTTGTCTCAGACATTTTATCTTGTTTCTGGACATATGCTGATATGGTCATCTACTTTTGCTTCTTGGACAGGTTTGGTGTTTATCTGTGGCCTTAATGCTTAATTGAGTGTGTGGTTTGGTATTTTTTATGCTTTCTGATTGCCTCCAGGTAGATGTGATCAGGATGTGGGCTTCCTTTTTCACTCTTCTTATTGTTTGACTCAGAGTAACTTTAACAGGTGTTGTCTGCCTCCCTAGTATATGGCAGTTGGTATTAGTTTGTGCCTAGATTTTGGTGTTTTATAGAGTGTGATTGTAGGTTGACTATATGGCAGCAGTTGCTGTCTCTTCTTGGGTAACATAGGGAGAGAAAGAGTCACCCAAAGGTAAAAGGGGG